AATCCACCCTGTCAGCCAGCAGGATGGCTCCAGACCCCCAACCCAGACCGCTTCCAACGCCAGGGGGACAAGGAGCAGCTGCCATGCTTCCTGGGCCCCTTCTCCAGCTCTGCCAGCTCTGCTCAGGACCCTCCTCCCCCCATGCAATCACGCTCCCCCCCAAGAAGTGGTTGGCACTGTGAGGCGAGGAGGATCCGGAAGAACAAGTTTCTCCGGAAACACCCAGCTTGGACAAATATTGTAAAAAACAACCTGTTTTTCCCAGCGAGTAACACATCATCACTAAGCAATGTGCGGGGAGGGGGTCCTTGTGGCAGGGCAGACAAATTTATGGCTGTGCGCCGAGAGTCGGAATGTGGATTCTGAAGCCGAGGCCTGCCTCGGAAGAGCCCAGAGGTTGTTTCCCGAATGCTGCTCCGAAGCCAGTTTCTAGCTCTCGTGGGTCACCGAAGACAGGCTGTGCGGAATGGCATCCAGAGAGACCGGAGAGAGTAGCCAGCCTCGGATAACCTTTCGCTGGTGGAATTTCTACAGTCAGGCGTCTGACATCCACCCTGCTTTTAATCTTGCTGGGGGACCAGCGCATTTTCAAGCCTGCCATCAACATCTGGCCTGCTTCTCTCCGTCTTCCCAGCTGCGGGGTGGGAATCAATACTGGCCTACTTTGCAGGGTTCTTGGGATGTCACGCCTGCAACACTCTTTGCTGAACTAGGAAGGACTGGGTATGAAACTCGTTTTGACAGAGGTGCCCCTTTGGAGATGGACGGCACAGCCTTCCTCAAGTGCTTCCTCTGAAGGGGCTGAACTGCAATGCCATCCCCCCTGCCAGCGTGGTGGGCACGCACAAAATCAGGGAAGGCTGGACTGCACCCGGTGGGGGCTGCCCCCAGATCCTTGTACTGCTTGTGTGGGGCTCAAATTGTGCAGAAGATCAGACCTCGTCCCCAGGACCAGCAGGCTGTGGCCAACAGGAAGGCTAAGCCCCCAGCCCAGCGGGATTTCTCTCCTTTGGGCAGAGGGGGCGGGCACCCTGGCCCTTCTCTCCCAGAGGCAATTATGGGCATCGACGGCCCCTCCCAGGGGAAGCAGCACCCCCCCACCCCCTGGGGGATTCGATCCTCTGCAGGAGCCTCACAAAGGGCTTTCCAATATAGATGTATGGCCACAAGAAAAGCTCTTAATTAGCGCCCTTATCGCAGGCAGGAGAAAGCCGGTTAATTAGTTCAGGGAGAATAATGAGGGCCAGGCACACAGTGAGGTGCCATGCATCTTGGGGGAGGGGGGCCTCTGTCATCTGCACGCAGTCCAGATCCTTCCTTCCTTCCTCCTCGGGAGACACAGCGGGGGCATTGCTTGGTGCCCAGCGCATCGCTGGTGGATTTGATGCCTTCCAGGATGTTTGGCGGCTGGCTGGGAATTCTCACTGGAGGGTGCCAAAGGGGTCAGCCTGACCCTACGTAAGAGGGGTAAGGAGGCCACCCCGCAGTTAAGTTGGCAAGGGACCCTCAGGTCTTCTGCTTCCTCGCTTCAGAGCTCCCCCCCCTTGCAGCATGCGGCTTGGCTCGCTGGACTCCAGGACAAGCCATGCGCTGTGCAAATTGCACCAGCAGTGCCCTGGAAGGCAGGGGGCGGGGGGTGCTCCTGACCTGCAGAGGAGCTGAGGGGCCAAAGGCCATGGGGGGGGGGGTTGAAAGAGCCATGCCCCAGCAATGAAGGGGTGGAGCTATGCAGACACCAGGGGGCTCAGCTCTTAATGGCCCCCCTTGCTTTGCAGGGAGAAACACCCCAGCCTTTCCCGTGCTGAAACACCTGATCTGAGTTGCACCCTGACTTACGGAGGGCCGGACCCGCGAATGATGCGGGGAGACCGTCTTGGATCCTGTGATGGAGCCAGGATCTTAAGCAGCGGATTCACACGACTTGCATTTACTCAGCTTCCTAACCTTAGCTAAGGGTAATCTTGGTTCCCTTTCTTTTGGGGGCCACTTAGTGCACCGTGAAAACAGGTTTATCAGGAGAAGAAAGGTTGTGCGAATAAGGCCTGAATTCTCTCTTAATATATTCCAGGGCAAACCCCCCTGAAGGAGGCACAGGGACCAGCCTGGATCTCGGTTACCTTTCATCACCATAAAAACCTTAAAATCTCTTCCATGCACTCCTCTGTCCTCGCAAACAGTTCAGTTCCTTTTTTAGTTCAATTCATAAGCAAACCATGAATGCACAGCTGAGCTTTCCTCTCCCTTCAGACATTCAGAACTTGGAGGTACTCTGCTATTGAGCATGGAGGTTCTACCCTTCCCGTCCTAGCGAACAATCACGGACCAACCTGTGCTTGCAATGTCAGCATGATGGCTTCAGCTTCAAGGGCTGGGCTGTTACAACCAGGGTTGCTCCCAGGGATGCCTCAACCATGTGTTCAATGCTCTGCCCCATTTTTACTCACAGCATGAGTGCAACATACATGGCCAGGGCTTCGACTGCACCGTTATGGGCACCAACTTGACTTTTTTGACCACACCCTGCCGCAGCCCTGGGCGGACGCTGCCATTGTAGTCGGCCCCTCAATTCCGGAGCCGGTTCGTGGCAGCCTTGATGGACAGCCGTCCTGCATTGGAAATCGGTGCCCGTTTTTGTTATCGGGCCCAACTGGGATAAATAGGAAGCTCCAGCAATTGAGGGGATTCGATAAATGCTTTAACCTTTGACCTCGCCTCCCCAACCCCATCGAGCCGCCGAGCGATTTCCAAAGGCTCCCCACAGCCTCCGACGCCGGCCAGAGGTGGCCATCAATTAGAGCCCTTTGCCAACCGCGGGATTAATGAACCTGTGCTCGATAGCACGTAAAACCCCAGGCAGAGGTTAATGTTGCCCTAATTAACTGGGAGGCGGGCACGCAGGGATCGCCTCAGCAGCCAAGAGCTGGAAGGAAGGGCTGTGAGGAGGCTGGCACCCCCTGGCACGCCAGCTGGAAAGAGGCAGGGGTGCCCAAGTCCTGCATCTTCACCCTTCCGGCGCGGAGGGAACGGGGGCTTAAAATTTCTGCCTGGCTCAGCAAGAGGAGAGTCCCAGATCCCCTTCTGTAGAAAGAACCACCCATGTTATTATGCTTGTGCGCACTGGCGATCTTACATTTTCCATGGACGCATTGGTGCGCATTATCTCCCTGGCTGTCAAGTTTCCTTCTACAGCAAGACTGGAAAATTCAGCTTCTGTTCTCCCTTGGGGGGAGGGCCCAGGATAACCCCCACCCCCTGCACCAAGCCTCCCCCCTTGGGTAACCTGCCCCTTTCCCCTCCCGAGGCCCTGGCTGTGATGGGGACAGAAGCTAGAAGAAGGGAGCCACCCTCCCTTAAGGGGCCAAGAGCGCCACAAAACCCTGGTTGGGAACTCCCAGCTGCTGGGGGAAGACCCGAGCCGTCCCCTTCCTCGCTTCGAGGTCGCCCCTTGCTCTCCCCCCTTGCCCCAATGCGCGTCTCCCCTCCCGCCAGTGGGGGACGCGGCCCACTCACCTCTCTTCTGCATGAAGCCGAACAGATCGTCCAGGAATTCCTTGCGCTTGGGGTCTCCATCCAATTCATAGAGCTGCGGGGGGGAAGAAAAGGTGGGCGTCAGTGGGGGGGGCAGCCGAAAGGAGCCCACCAAGAGCAGCAGGAAGGCCAAGGAGGGTTGGGTGGATGAGGAAAGGGACAGGGCACCCTTGCCCCTGCCAACCAGCTTGGGTTTCTCCCAAGGCAGCCTCCTGCAGAAGTGTCCCCCTCCTTCTGGGGCAACGGGGGCCTTTGGAACTTCGAGGGGGTGTGCACGGCACACTCCCAAAATGGTTGCCATGGCCACTTGCAACGCGCCCGTTCGCTCGGAGGCCTGCGGTGAGGCTGTTCCGCCGCCCTTCCTAGAGGCTTTCTATCCCTCCGCACCCCTCCCTTGGTCGCCAGCCAAGAACGGGAGGCACCACCCGTGGGTCCCAGCGCACGAGCTGGGTGGGGCGGGGGGTCCGGCAGGCGTCAGGAGAAGCGTTGGGGGCGCCCACAAACGCCACACGGGGGACCCGGCTTTAACCGTAAGCCACATCCAGAGCTAGGTTCACACAACATGCGACTCGAGGTTGAACTGGGGATGAATAATTTGCGAACACTGCCTCGACGTATCGTGTGAACAAGGGTTACTGTATCTACTCGTGAATAAGCTGAGGATTTTAAGTGCCAAAATACACCCCCCAAAACCGGGTTTGGCTTATCCACAGATAATGAGTATACATGGCAATGCCTTTTAAAAGAACCCATATATACTCGCATATAAGCCCACCCGCAGATACGCTGACCCCCAAATTTTTAACCAAAAGACCATGAAAAATGGATAATCCGCGGGTCGCTCGCAGATAAGCCAACGGTGAAAATTGTAACGTATAAAAATTTCGAGGGTCGGCTTATCCGTGGGTGGCTTATACACAAGCATATACGGTAATCAAATTAAAACATTATGTATTTCTCGGGACACACCCCTACTGAGGCTTCTTCACCCCAGTTAAGCGTGTTGTGCGAATCCAGTCTCAGTCCCAGGACAACCCAGAAAAAGGGGCAGGGGCAGAATCGACCCCATTCTGAGTGGTTTTTCCTTCCTCTTCTGGCGGGACATTTTTTCAATTCTCCTGTCTACCCTACAGCACTGGGATCTCCTAGTGGTCTCCTTACCACACCCAATCCAGGCAACCGCGAAGAAGGGCTTTCTCACCTACCTTAATTCCCCCCAGCCGTGCCGAACTCCCGCCCCAGCGGCTTCCAAGACCCCCACCCCGCAGCTTCCTGCATCCTCGGGGCCAGCTTGCTCCATCCGCGGTCCTGCTGGCAAAGCGCTCGCAAACAAGGGTGTCGGCAAGCCCGCCCCGCCAAGAGAGCTTCGCTCACAAAACTGTCCTCCTGTGAATTTAGACGTCATGCTTAGTTTTACGTTTGCCTGCTTTGCTCTGCTCTGCTCTGCTCTCATGTCATCGTCATTCCTAATTTCTTGCTGAGCTTAATCCATCAAAAGCTGTTATTTGCTGCTTTCCATCCGCGTCGGAAGGGACGGAGAGAACTGGACAGAGACCCGCAAAGTCCTTTTCCAGTCAAGAGGCCTGGACGTTTAACCGGGGCCCCCTCTGGGGCACACGGTCGCCCCTCCAGCAACAG